TTTTTCGAAAGTTAGACTATGTTTATAGATTTTCATTTTTTTTTCTTCTCTCTCTCTCTCTCTAAATAAAATGCAGCTTTTGGGCATCCCAGCCTCCCTTAAATCTGCTGCATTCTTCTGTTTCTGTTTTCTAGGACTGTATTGGAGCAATAGACGGCATGCATATCCCGGCCCACGTTCCTGCAAAAGATCAAGCTAGATTTCGCAACAGGAAAGGGGTTTTATCGCAAAATGTGTTGGCAGCTTGCACTTTTGATCTCCAGTTCATATTCGTCTATCCTGGGTGGGAAGGCTCGGCTTCGGATTCACGCGTGTTAAGAGCCGTTCTAAGCGATCCAGATCAGAACTTCCCTCAAGTTCCCCAAGGTTTGACTTCCCTTTCTTCCCATGTCTTACTTTTCTTATTATATACATTCATACACACATTCCCCATCACATCTTACAAACTTCCCTTTCAAATTAAGAGACCTCATAGATAGACCACTTTACCCCTATTTTAAGTGATAAATGTTATTTTTGTACTTGGTACTCAGTAACTAGTTACTTGAAAAATATTAAATATGAACAAACCGGAAAGATAACGCGAAAAAAACAAACGAATCGTGATTGCGAAACCAATAAAGGAACTGTTCATTAAAAGCATGTTCGTTTACAAAATAATTCGTTCTCATTCAATTCATACCAAAATCTAACTCAATTCTAAGTTTTAACCCAACCCTACTATCCTCAATATTATCTATATAATTAAATAATACAAACCAATCATTCTTATACATCACATCAGTTTTAATTTCATTATGCATCCACTCACATAATTTTTTAACTGACTATCACTTAACATCATTTCTCTCCTACTTTCACATCGAATCAACTTTAATTATTTTATTATAACATCAGAATCCTACTAACCAACCATCCAACTTTTATCAAAATTAATCCTGGTTAATTGAAAAAACTCATTTTGAGCGGATTTATTTGTAAACAAGCACGCCCTAACAAATCATCACGATTCATTCTCACTAGGATGCATTTATCCACATCATATAAATTAAAACTAGCGCAGGCAAATATTACCTCGTGGATTTGGGGTACGACAACATGGATGGGTTCATTGCACCTTACGATGGGGTTCGGTACCACCCGAACGAGTACCGAGGCGCCAATCTCCTGCCGAGGAACGCTAAGGAGCTTTTCAACCACCGCCACTCGTCTCTCAGCATTGCCATTCGCAAGTCCTTTAATCTCTTGAAGGAGAGGTTCCCGATTCTTAAACGTCCCCCTCAGTATGCATTTCACACGCAGCGGGACATTGTGATAGCTGCGTGTGTCCTTCACAACCATATTCGGCGAGAAGAGAGGGACGATTGGCTTTTCAGTAGTGTCGAGGGTATTGGTGAAGTGGAGGATGCTGCGGGAGTTGTGGATGAGCTGGCGGACGATTTGCATCAGTCGGGCTTCTCGATTCATGAACAGGTGGCAGCTTCGCATAGGGACTCGATTGCGGCAGCTATGTGGAACGACTTCATGAACAAGTGGGATGAGTGGTGAGCTCGATGCGTTTTTTTTTTTTTTTGTTTGTAATTTATTTTGGTAGTTCGTTAGGACATGAAGAGAAAAGGAAGTGTTGTTCTCGGGTGTAGATGAGTTGGATTCAGGTGTTAGGAGGAAACTGGCGTTCAGAATTTGTTTTGTTGATTGTTCTGGAGAGCTGGCACTGTTGATGATAGTTACATTGTCAATTCAAATCTTTGGCACTTTGAATTGTCTGAGTTTCCTTTCTTTTGTTTTTTCTTCTTTGGTTTATTTATTTGTGAGTTGTGTTGTTCACAAGGATATTTGTAGCAAGGATGTTGCCACCCCAGATCAATAAAAGAAACTACATCAATGGTTGAAGGTCAAACAGAACTTTTGCAATGAAGAAAATATCGATATTCTCGTAAAGAAAACGAATATATCCAGTCGCAAGAAATAAGGGAAATATGAGTTACAAGATGAAAGTAACTAAAGCAAATTATATAATACAATGGATCTAAAATTAAGCTCATAATGCCCTTTTGCTTTATTCAGCAATAGGACGGATATTACAGAACTTTTTCTTCTTCCACTATTACTTTTCCTTAGTTTCAACTTAAAAACACACTTTACACCTATGCAGTCTTTATTAGAAGAACACGCGGCTGTCAAGGAATGATAGGAAAATATACATTTCTCAAGTTAACCGCTGAGTGTGGTATGCAGATAATCTATTCACAGTGTACAAACCACAATACAGACTACATGATTCCATGGAATTCATGGGCTCTGAAGATATGGGCAACAAATTGAGCTCCAATGATAATACCTCCACAACTGAATCAAAATCATCCTATTGCTTACCAAATCTTCACCTGATAGTATACCAACAAATTTAATGGAAGCCTGTCTCCAAGTTATTTTCTGTATAAACTTGAATCTTTCCACTGCCATCTTCCACTTCAAGCTTATCATTCAATAGAGCCTTGCATTGAATGTCTCTGTATTCTAGATTTCGCATGAATTCAACCTACGGAGCAAACAATGGTATCATTTAAAGAAGAAAGGGGAAAATCTAATGGTGTGGAAGAATAGTCTTAAACTAAACCAGTCATGCAGCTCAAGATAGACATAAAAAAGGTGGAAGTACGAGGCAGCTTCATATTTGATAACCTTCTCATTTTGTTTTTGAGAGTATATTCTACTCGTTCTTAGTTACTACAAGATGGCTACTTGTAGAACATGAGTGTGGGAAAATTACCTACCATGAGAATCAATTTTCACAACAGTTTTCATTCTTTTCCTTTTGATAAATGAAAGCAACAATTCATTCTATACAAAGGTTGTTCTAAATTAAGAGTAGTAAAGTTGTTCTCAAACATTTTGGTGCCATGACATTCACTCATTCCACCAGCCGTTAAGGAGGCACACTCCTGGGCCAACAGATATTGAATCGTTAGGCAGTCTAAGACTGAAATTTGGAATTAAATAAAGATATCAAAAAATACCAACAAGAAAGTAAAGAAGTGCCACAGCTTCCTTTCCTAATTCCAATTGTGACATTGGTCATCCCGCATCTGAGATAAACCTAGTCTTCTTCACGTGGCAAAGGGAGCGAAGCGCTGCTCACGTTACAGCTACTGTGTTGACTGTAACTAGACGGAGATTTTTCAACTAACAAAGCAAGCATTGAAAGACGGCTTTCAGAATAGGCTTTTTTGTGCCAAGAGAAGCGAAGTGAAGTCAAAATTTTAACCTATTTAAAGAAAATTGACTAAAACCACTAAGAAAGAACCCTAAAAAGTGGACCAAAAAATAATGAAAATTTCTATGAAAAACTAGAAGAAACGAAAAAACTGAAAGATAAAAAAATAACAATTCTAAACTGAAAAAAAAAAACTGAAAGATAAAAAAATAACAATTCTAAACTGAAAAAGAACCGGAAAGCCTCCGCCTGGCGGAAGGTTGTCAAAAGTTAACTTACTAGTAATTAACGTTGACACTACGTCACTATATAGTATATTACCCACCTGCTTCTGGAATGAATCAAATTCATCTGAGCTCAGAGAACCATCACTATTTGAATCAAGAACTCGCATCATCTCCTGAGCATCCTCCCCCTTAGCACCAAGCTCCTCCATCACTTCCATAAGTTCCTCAATGCTGATCTTACCATCTCCATTCTTGTCCAGCAACCGGAACACTCGATTCCTGTGATTACTTTCTAGACCCATGTGGTTAGTGGATGGAAAATCTTTCAGGCGTGATGCCGCTAGTTCAGCTGCAGCCATCATGATAGCTTTGAGCCGCTTTGCCTGAGTCAATTTGAGTCACAGCAAAAGATATCAATTTACAGAACTTTCAGTGCGCGTCCACTTTGAAACCCCAACTACCAGTTACATGAATGAAATTTGACGACAAGAGGGCAGATATCAAAAANACAAAAAAAAAAAAAAAAAAAAAAACCTCTTCTGGATTGGTGAGACCGCCTTTGTACAGCGCATGCGAAGCGGTCCCGCCAGCCGCCAGCATATCCATCTCCGCTGTCCGTATCTGAATCTCCATCAATGGCCTCGTCCTGCCATTTTCACTGACATCAACAGCCATATGCAAACTCTTGTACCCATTAGCCTTGGGCTTCACGATATAGTCTTTCGACCTTTCCACCACCTCCCTCCACAACGATCTAACCACCTCACGAGCCCTGTAGCACGCCTTTTCCCCTATAGACAGCAAATTACCACTCGGCCCAGGGCTCAACACCACTCTCAGCCCCAAGATGTCGTTCACCTCATTGGGCGCACGCCCGTCTCTCAACAGCTTCTTCATGGTACTATATCGGCTCTTATACCGACCTTCGACCGAGATATCCCCAACCATCTCCTTTAAAATTAAGTCAGATGTCAGGACCCGAAGCAGCTGCTCCTTGTACACGTCTAACAGGGGCTTGCCTTCGGTTGTGGTCTCCCATCTGGACCTCAGCCATGCGTCCACGTAGAGATACGAGTAAGGGAATAAGTAGTGGAATGATAGGTCTTCGAGCTCAAGGGAGAGGAGTCGTGCCCCGAGCGCATGGGCCAGGGGAGCGTGTATCTTCATGACTTCCAGGGAGAGGGTTTGCTGCTCGTACCTCGGCCGGTGGTCCAGGTGGCGCATAGAGTCGAGCTTTAGGGCGAGGTGGAGGATGATGGCCCGCGAGTCGTAATAGGTGATGCAGAATCTTCGGAGGGCGGACGAAGTGTCGTCGTCTAGGAGCTCAACCCTGGAAGAGATGGTTCTCAGGCGCATGCTCTCGTGGAGGAGGTGGGCAGTGGAGGGGCCCACGCGGTCCCGGACCTGGCGCATGGAAACTCCACCTCCTTCCACGGCTTCCCTCAGTAGTCCGGCGGATATGACCTCTGCGTCCATCTGCACCCATCCGGCAGTTAGCGTTAGTCAGATTCAGATATGAATCGGTTGCAGATTAATTTTGTCTGAAATTTTCATCACGACGGAAAATTCAGGAAAGTAAGGCGACCTGGTATGTGGTAATCGAGTGATGACAATTGAGTTGTATCATCCTAATTTCCCCCGATTTTATAACCAGAATCACAAAATTAGGATGAGAAACTAGCAGTCTAGCTAAATTGAGGTTGAATACCTGAAGATCGGCGAGAAATAGGGCGAGGGAGAGGGCCTTAGAGAGAGGGGAGCGGCCGTCGGGAAGAAGTGGAAGGGTGTGGAGGATGGGGATAGAGAGCTTGAGTGCCTTGAACAGCAAACGCGAGGAGCTCGTGCTGGGGCTCATCATTCTCTCCGTCAACTCCGTGAAAGCGCCAACCAGCTCAACCACCATCTTCCCGCCAGGTTGATCCAACGTCATCGACGACGAAGATGACGATATTTTCAGCCTTCTGTTGGTCCTGCGGAGTAGATTCCCAAAGGATTTTGTCGAGATGGACGGGAATTCGACTAAAAAGCTGCTCTTGGACTTGGGGAATAACGGAGTAGAGATGAGATGGAGCTCCATTCCGGTGCTCTGATATGTTGTTGACTACCGGTGGCCGGTGAACAACACAATGGCCAACAAAGGCAAGTGTGTATGATTAGTTAACAATGGTGGTAATAGGGAGGCCACGTCAGAAAGAATACCAGAAATGCACACATAAACAAATGTGTATATTTATACTTCGTTATACTTTTGTTGTTTATGATGTTTATCAAATAATGAAATTTTCTAATAAAAGTATACATTTTGTTATGGAGTCAATTGAATGGCTCAACTTATGGAGTCATTCATAATTTTCTACAAATGGTGTATTGACACGTGTCCTGCAATAAATACACATTGGACACGTGTCAATAATCATATATAAAAATATGGATGACTCCATAAGCCAGTCATCCGATGGCTCCATAAACTTTCTGTAAAAGCACATATTTATAATAAGAGTATGTCTGTCTAATGATTAGGTTAGCCTAACACAAGACCTAATGTAGTTTATAACCAAGTTTGTAGGACATAGGAACTTTAAATAATGGATGAACACTCCCTTGCGGTACAGCTGTTCATAATACGAAAAATAGTCTAAGCGGTTGGATTCGAGATTCTAAAAGTATATGCTTGAAAGATTATGCTACTTAAATGAAGGTTTTATTCTCTCTTTTATTTGCAGAAACTTCAACTATTCGTCACAGTTTGTGTATTGGATGGATTTGAGATTCAATCTTTAGAATGTTTTGACGGACTCCAAAAGTATTATAAGTGGTATCTCTTAACCACAAGTCTTCGACCCATTCCTCCGAGTGTGTGATGATATGGAAAATTTTACAACATCTCTTTATATGCATTGCATTTTCATTTTGTAATTGAAGCAACACTATGTATCCCCTATACAAAACTCGCTTCAAATAATTTAGTTAATTTTAATTTTCATATCAAATATTCCATAAAAGCCAAAACTCTCCTTTAATATTTAGGTAATTTTATTTTTCTATATCAAATATTTTATAAAAACCAACAAAAATTAAGAAAAAATATCAAAACTAGTCTCGTATCTTTCGAATTATCCACTTTTGGTCTCATTGCAATGGTGTTTCTTAAAATAAGTCTCATATCTTTTAAAAATCAATCAAAAGTAGGACAATTGTTGCCGAAACTTCAAATGTTTTAATAATATTATAGTTAGTCCATTTACCTCTTGCGTGACAGATGACATGACTAAATATTAAAAAGTCACCAGTTAAAGCATTTTTTGCATTCTAGATTCTATTTTTGAAATATAACACGCATAGTGACACAACCCAACCATCTTTCAAAAATCGGGCTTAACACCCCTCGTGTTACATTCAACACTTTCACAAATTATTAAATTCTTAGGACGATATTTTTTAATTGTTGCGTGTGATCATGCCTCAATTCAATCAAATTTCCAGTCGATGTTGGAACACATTCAGACAACTCATTTTTCACTTCATTCAAGGCGGACTTATTCTTAGGATTTTCAAGCTTATCACTCACAGAACCATCTAAATTAGAAACATCAGATGTAAGAACATCGACAGATAGGCCATCAAAGAGAACATTGATTGGTTCCATGACACTCTCAGTACCCAAATTATAGATTCTATAAGCACGACTATTTGTTGCATACCAAAAAAATGGACCAACGTCGCCTTTAGACTCAAATTTACCTATATGTTCCCTATCATTGTAAATGTAACAACGAAATCCGAACATGTGAAAGTATTTCACATTGGGAGACTTACCTTTCCAAATTTCATAGAAAGTCACGCCTATACCTTTTTAGCAGTAGACACGGCTGATGATGTAGTATATGGTGTTAACAACCTCAGCCCACCATCTTAAGGACATTCCTTGTGACACAAGCATATTCTTGTCATCTCGTGCTAGGTTATGTTCTTTCTTTCGACAACTCTATTTTGTTGTGGATTAATGGGAGAAGAAAATTGATGAGATATTCCTCGTGAGTCACAAAAACTATCAAAACCAATATTCTCAAATTCTTCCCATGATCACTCCTAATGGAAACAACTCCAGTTTTTTTTCTTATTCTCATGTTTCAAGGCAAGTTTTTGAAAAGATTCTAATGCATCAGATATTTCTCTTAAGAAGTCTACCCAAGTTTATCGAGAGAAATAATCTACACACAAGAATATATTTCTTACCATTGTAGTTCTCAATCTGATATGGACCCATCAAATCCATATCAATTAAATCCAAAATATGTTTCGTGTTGTTGAGTGGTCACCTGACTCGTCTTGTCGGGCCTGGGCTAGCCCTTATTGGTCCCGAGCAGCCGCTGATCGGTCCCAAAAAAGCACCTAGTGTGTCCCATACAACACCCGATCACTCCCGAAATTGTCCCGGTATCTCCGCTTCAAGCTAAAACCAAAAAATACCAATAAATAATCAAATACCAACAACCTATTAATATAAATAAATTGACAAAGCTGAAAAGTAAATAAGAAATCAATAGGAACGAATACACCCTTTTCGTGTTCACGTATGAGGGCCCGAATGCCACGAAGATAGGTCGAAATTGATCAGGCTTAGTCCCCTTTTGTCAATGGCGCAAATGAGTTACCAAAGAACCGATTATTTGGACCCGTACCCACAATAACCCTGACGCTGAAATCCCAGCGGTAACACCACCGGTCGTCGCAGAAAACTCGGCCCGAAAACAGCCCGTACACGAAACACCTAAAATCCCCTCTCACAAAGACTAACTCGGCAGACACGATGAAGACCCCTAGCACACTCACAATCTCATTATCACCAAGATACAATAAGATAAGAGCGGATTGGATGAATAAACACTAAGGCTATGTTTGGTAGACCAATAAACTAGCTTATAACTTATTTGGTTAGCTTATAAGCTTCCTGCATTTAATAAGTTTCGTTTGGTAGGACGAACTTTTTAAAAAAGCTCGAGCTTATCTCATAAGTTTTTTTGGGTAGCTTTTCAAATAAGCTCGTTGAAATTTTTATTTCAGCTAGCTTATCAGCTAATTTTACCAAATATTTTTATCACATAAGCTAGCTATTCAGCTATAAGTTATAAGCTTGAAAATTACTGCTAAGCTATAAGCTAGCTTATCAACTAGTTTTACCAAACATAGCTTAAGTTGAAAAAGAGTTTAGCAAGAGCAAGAGTCAGAGATAGCAACAAAGAGAGTATATTGGCGGTTGTAAGCAAGGTTGTCAAAAACGGATTGAACTGGGAACCGGCCAGTTCACCGGTCCGGTTCTATGGAAGAAATCGACTGTCAACAAAACCGGTCAAAAACTGGTCAATGACCGGTCGAACTGGTCGAACCAGCCAAAAACCGGTTGGTTCAACTGGTCATTTTTTTTTTTTTGTCAATCCGGTCAAATAATTTTTATCTATAAATTCTAACACTTTTATAAAGCAACTAACCTTTTATGGTTATCGATGTGGGACAAGATGTAAGAATTCCAAATTTTCAATTGTAAAGGTAATGGACCAAAGCCACGCGTGGAAAGAATTTCTTTTCCCTTTTACCTGCACGTGGAAGGAATTTCTTTTCTCATATCCCATCTTTATTTCTTATTATTTTATTGCCCAATGTGGTTGTGTGAGAAAATATTTTTTTTTTTCCCATATTTTTGTACTATCATTTTATTCCTTAATCTATATATGGTGGGACTAACTTTTTAAAAAATAAGTCAACTATTATAAAGTATTATATATTTAAAATATCAATAAATAAAAGAACTTAAAAATTAAGTTAACTATATCTATGAAATAATATATATATTTAAAAGTATCAATAAATTAAATAACGGTCCAACCGATTCACCCAATGTCGGACCAGTGAACCATTGAACCAGTAGCTTGACCGGTTCGATAACCGGTCCGGTTTTGACAACCTTGGTTGTAAGGGCATCCACATCCATTAATTTTTTTCTCATTCATTCAATCAAAAAGTTACACTCTCTTATCCACATTGTCTTCTCTCTCCATTTAAACACACACACATCCCTACACATTCATTTAAATATAAATATGAAACTCATTATAAATAAAAAATATAAATAAAAAAAAGAAAAAAACGCAGTTGCAGAAAAAAAAATAAAAATAAAAAGGCTCAAAAGAACCGTTCAATGGTGTTAACGGTAACAATGGTCCCACGCATTAATGGATAACTGCATTTGTTGAATGTGAGAAATTGCGTTTAAATTGGGCCATTAAACGCACCAATGCAGATGCCCAAGTGACAGGGAAAGTATCTTTATAATATCTTCAAATTAGAAAAGACTGACATTTAAGAAATTTCATTTTATCCGAAAGAATTCTTGCGAAACGAGTAACTTGAGGAAACAAAAGTCTTATACCACATAGGTTTGGAGTTAACTTTTTATACTCTTGCATCCTTGTCCTAGAAAGAGCGGCCACCCTTATTAGTTCCACTTGTTCCAGTAGCGTCTTTGTACAAAAAATCATTTCGAATTAAAAGAAACTTTCCATAAAAGATGCCATAATATTCCACAAAGGTAACACCAAATTATATAAGGAAAAGAAAAAAAGAATTCACCCTTGTTTTCCACACCAGAATCATGACTAAGTTAGTAGTGATGGCGCCCCATTTACTTAGTTGCCGGAGTTGAAGGCTCCGGTAATCCTTTAACGTTAAACAAATCAAATTTTTTAGCATATACGTTATGTTATAGTAACCCAATACAAAAGAATGTCTTAAACAGCATAATGAATCTTGAGTATAGGGCAAAGCCGGACATAAAGACAGCATGCTCTCATCTGCAATAATGATAATAATAACAGGTAAACATTATTATCAACAATAATAATAAATTTTTTGTCTTCTTTTAAACGCAATCATCTTCCCATTCCTTTAAAAAAATATACTCCTAAAATTAAAATCCCCTCTCAAGTCCTACAGTAATTGTTAGATTGCAGGCTTG